GCAGTATGGAACGTCAAGCAGTCAATTTGACGTTTTCAGAGCTATACCGTGAAACCATTCCACATAAATAGGCCAACATTCCAGCAACTTACCAACTCCAGCTTTAACTCGACAAAAATCTCACAAAGTTTTGACTGAGTGAAGAAGACCCGGTTGGTGTCTTGAGTCTTGTCTGTTCAAATCTTCGACAAGAATAACCTGAACATATTGTGTTGGAAGCCGAGTCCATTTTTCTCAACTTTGCTTTCTCTAATTATTATTTGATTGCTCATTAGGCCGCGTTCAGCGCACATGCATCTGCTGCACAAACCAGCGGCGCTTTTTAATTACAGCGCGAGTTCACTCCGCTGCAGTCGAGGGAAGGGGAGGGCTGGGAGAGGCCAGGCCGAGGGGGGTCTATAGCAACCAATGTCCGGCTGGGTAAGACCACAAACCAGTCTGGTCTTTGTGCGGGACCAGACTGGACCCGCACTGCTGCTGGATGAAAGCGCTGGTTTTCTAACTTTAGTATCAAAATTGTTAGGATTGAACATATCTTGAAACTATAGGTAAAAATGTGGGGGGAAAAAGTGAAAAAGTGTCACTGTGGGGTTAGGCCAGTTGGAAATATATACGGTATGTCATGGTGTGGACTTAATGTTGATTATTAAACTCTCTGCTCCTCTCCTCTTGTTCAATTAGGTTTTTTCCCCCTGGTTTTATTTTGAAATTCTGTTATATATTGGATTGTGTTATTTATAAGATAAGATAAACTTTATTGATCTTACAATGGAGACATTTACAAGTTCGTTCAATCTTGTACTTTTGCAGTTCCGCATTTGAGTGCTTCCTTTGACAATATATATGTGTGTGTGTGTGTGTGTGTGTGTGTGTGCACTTGTTTTCAACTCCTGGTGGGTTCCATAACCTGAGATTCCACTCACGTCATGGGGACTGGTTTTACGTGGTGGGGCCCGAACACCGGACCCCACTGGTCCAAGCTTAATAATCAATGGGTAATGCTTTTCTAACGGTCCTTATGCAGTCTCTGTAAAAATATGGAAAGGACCCCTGGAGGTTTACTTTCCTGAAAAAAGTGTGTTATGTGTCGGAACCCTGGTGGTGGGTTGCGGGATATCAAGGAGGGGCACACTGGGGCAATTTCAGTCCAGCAGGCTGGAGCCAATCATGGAGCAGCACAACAGAGGAAATCAGGTGTCAGGCTAGAAAAAGGTGCAAGTGTGTGGTTCATTAGGCTGCAAGAAATCATGGAGGAGCACACTGAAGCGCACGCTTACAAACCACTGGTAAGTGCTGACTACAAGTCATGACTTCAAATTGTTATATAGAATGATTACAAATTATTTGTTGTTTGTGCAGCTTAGTCAAGAGTCCCTAATTGATGAAGTCGACTCAGATTCTGACGATTTAACTGTCAAGAAGAAACCTGTAAAAAAGTATGGAAAAAGAAAAATCAAAAACACTTTTCTTCAAGACTCGGAAAGTGACGAACCAAAGGCAAATAAGATTGTTATCATGCAGCTGCAAAAGAAGAAAAATGGGGGGCGAGTATACAGCAAGAGACACTTCTGCCTCTACTGTTCAATGTCCTGCCACAAAATGTCCCGTCATTTGACTAGAAAACATGGAAATGAAAGTGACGTAGCCAGAGCATTGGCTCTACCTGTGAAATCTAAAGCACGTAAACTTCAGTTTGATTTGATCAGGAATAGTGGAAACCGTGAGCACAATTTTGAGGTTTTAAAGGCCGGCATTGGAACTTTAGTCCCAGCTAAACAGCCAAATTGCCCAGTTAAATCCAGTGAGTTTTTGCACTGTATAGACTGTGGGGCATTGCTTAAGCGAAAGTCGCTGTGGAGGCATGTGGCCAGGTGCCGGCTTTCACAGAAAGATGCCCAGGCTAAACCAGGTAGAAGTAGGGTCCAGTCCCTCTGCTCCCTAGCCCAGCCTGTACCGGAGGGCATCAGCAAAAAGCTGTGGTCTTTAATTTCGGCAATGCATCAGGATGAGGTCACGGGTGTTGTCAAAGCAGAAAAGGGGATTCTGAGACTCGGAGAGCACCTGTACTTAAAACACGGGCATGATAAGACAAAGCATGATTACATTAGGCAGAAAATGAGAGAAGTCGGTAGGTTAATTAACGAAGCAAAAACCGCAGGGAAACTGAAAACAATTAAGGATTTCTTTATTCCTTCCAACTTTAACCATGTGATTGATGCAGTCAGGTCTGTGGCTGGATATGATGAGGAAACAAATCAATACAAGACTCCATCCTTGGCCCTCAAACTCGGCCATAGCCTCAGAAAGCTAGCAGATATTCTTGAATGTGACTCAAAAATGGAGCATTGTGTTGATGAACTATTTATTAAAAACCTCCAACGAAGCCGGCTGCTTTTTGAGAAGAGGTGGGACGTCTGTGTTTCTTCTGCTGCCCTACAGACCCTCCGGCAAGCCAAGTGGAACACTCCGGACCTGCTCCCTCTGACTGAGGACGTTAGAGCCATGCATGCACATATTGAGGTATGTCGACCTGAATATGTGCAAACCCTAATAAGTGAGCCAACGTCTAAGCATTGGTCTAAACTGGCAGTTTTGACTCTTTGTGAGGTCATCATTTTCAATCGAAGAAGGGAAGGTGAGGTTTCAAAGATGCCACTGACAGCCTTTACCTTAAGAAGTAAGACTGGGATCCATTCTGACATTGCTCTGGGACTGTCCCAACTTGAGAAAAAGCTGTGTCAGCATTTTCAACGCATTGAAATTAAAGGGAAAAGAAGTCGGAAAGTGCCGGTTCTTTTGACTCCTGAAATGATTGCTTCGATGGAGGTGCTGGTGGAGAACAGAAGGGCCTGTTCCATCTCTGACCATAACCCATACTTCTTTTCCCGCCCGGGCGCAGACACCCACATCAGGGGATCAGACTCCCTACGCCAGGTAGCCAAAGAATGTGGTGCGGTGCATCCAGAGATGCTATCCTCAACCAAACTTAGAAAGCACATAGCTACTATGTCTACAGTTCTCAATATGAAAGAGAATGAGATGGACATACTTGCCAACTTCCTCGGCCATGACATTCGCATCCACAGGCAATATTACAGACTACCAGAGGGGACACTGGAGCTGGCCAAAATCAGCAAAGTGTTGATGGCCATGGAGCAGGGAAGAGTGACGGAATTCGAAGGAAAGAGCCTCGACCAGATACAAATTGAGCCTGAAGGTAATTCTTGATATTATTAAAATATGTATGATTTTTTTCCCCTAAAGGCCACTTGTATTTTTATTTTCTGTGCGACAGGGAGAGCAGTAGAGATCCTCTCACAAACGGACGGGCTAAAAGAAACTTCAAGCGGAGAACCTTCAACCATTCATCCAGATGCACCCCATGGTAGTGGCAGTGCCCCTTCTGGTAAGTGTACCAGGTGGGGGATTACAGCCAGGCTGCTTGGTCCTCACCCTGGGAGTGTATATTGCTAATATATTTTTATTTCTCTCCCTAGAACGTGTAAGAAAGCCATGGTCTGCATCTGAGGTGAAGGCTGTGGAGAAGACCATGACACCTTTCATACAGACTGGAAAGGTCCCTGGGAAGTCTCACTGCCTGGCCTGCATTAATGCCTCACCAGATGACCTTAGACATCGGACATGGAGTGGCATTAAATTCTATGTCAAAAATAGAATCACTGCAATTCGAAAACAAAATCTAAAATAAAATTCCTTTAAAATAGTTGTTTGGTTTCTATTGACTGTTTTGTATTACTTAAAGTCTTGGTAAAAAAAGATTATGTCTATGGGTCCCATTCTGAACGGCCCTGTCAAAGGGACCCACCAGGTAACAAAAACGTGTATGTGTGTGTGTGTGTGTGTGTGTGTGTGTGTGTGTGTGTGTGTGTGTGTGTGTGTGTGTGTGTGTGTGTGTGTGTGTGTGTGTGTGTGTGTGTGTGTGTGTGTGTGTGTGTGTGTGTGTGTGTGTGTGTGTGTGAATGTGTGTATCTATGAGTCACTATATAATGCTTTGGGCTGAGAGGTGATTGGCTGAGTGGGGTGGTCCTCTGTATTCTGATCCAAAAACCTGCATGAGAAACCTAGTGATAGAACCAAACTGTTTAATGTCTGATGTGTTTTATTACATAATTTCATTTTCTTTTGGGTGGAAAGTTATGTACCCAAGCTTTAACTTTCCCTCTCTTCTTGCCTCACTCCAGCAGCTATAGCTCATGTCCTCCTCCAAGACTTCGCATCCCGCGCTCCGGCCTGGATCCCTCTCACCGGGCTGCATTCACATCCCCTGGAAACCTATTTATATGAATAATTAACCATCATTAGTTTTCCCCGTGTCTGCGCCGTGCGTCGGGCATCGGAAACACATTGATTAACACTGAGGCGTCGTTATGGCGTGGCCTTGATGTGGAGTTAGCTGGGTGCAGCGCGCACAGAGAGGGGGTGAGGGGGTGGTGCATGGCTGCGAAGGTGGGGTGGGTGCCGTGGGTGCGCGTTTGATTGGAGCCGCTGCGGGCGCGTCCCTCGTGGATCCCGGGCGCTCTGTATGATGTGCGGATGAAGGCTCGTTTCCCAAACCCCCCCTCGCCGACCGCCCCCCCTCTCACGCGCCGTAATGACTCTCCAGCCAGATTTTCGCAGGCCGCTCATGACAATCCCATTTTCTGTGTAATTTCATGCTTGTCTTCTTGAATGAAGATATTGGCTGCTCTCAAGCATGGGGTCAGAGTCTCGCGCTCCGGTTCTAGATTGTTCCGGAGTATGTTTCCCTTCACTTGATGAAAAGTAATTCATCATTTACAGCGACGAGTTCTGCCATCGCCCCCCCTGCCGCCCCTCTCCCCTCTCCTCTTTTTTTCTCTACACTTCGGTTTTCTTTTTCGACTTTCTTTTTTTCAGCGAGGAGGTCGTCCCCAAGTGGGAGAGCCGATAGGTTGGCGAGCAGAGGATAGGTCAGGCGCGGCGAGCACAGGTTAGTTCCCGCTAGGGCAGACCCGGCGGTGATGGGTTTTGTCACCTCGCGTACCTCTGCAAGTCACGTCCTGTCAAAGCCGCCGCGGTCGCTCGGAGAGGCCACGCCGGCTCTGCTACCCGCTGGGGCGTGTGAGCCGAAAATTGATTTTTGGCCTCTCCGGTGTTTTGCTCCTTTCGCTCCCTCTGTCTGCGCTCGCCAGGTTCCTTCGGGGAGGACTTTGACAGCTGCCGACGGCCAATCAAAAGCAGTCACCGTGTTGTAGGAGAAGTACCTATCGGCGAAAGTCAGCGTCTTGAGGGGGAGAGATTGTGACGTGTTGCAGACAGGAGCGGTCTCCAGGCCTCGGGGGTCCGAAGGGGGGGCAGGTGGCAGGGGTTGGATTGCCAGGAGATGGAAGGCTTTTTACACCTTTTCTCTCACCACGTTCACAAAGTCTACGGATGACTTTTGACAAGTCTATATATGTGTTTCCATCATAGTCGTTATTTATGAGCAAGGTGCTGTTGTCAAAGCTTTTAGACGACAAACTCCACAGTCACCGAAACTAGAGAAATGAGAAAGATCGTAAAACGCTTTGGCTGATCTTAGTCTGTGAAATGCGCAAGAAAAATAAAGATTAAATACTTACTTACGTTAAATCAATCAAACATCCAATCTCTTATAGCACAGTTCACACAGAATGCAACCCAAAGTGCTTCAAATTGCCAACATTTAAAACCACACTGTAAAAACCAATACAAAAGACTATTTATTTATTCAAAAAGAAATAAATAAATATATCAGTCGTAAGCACGGCTAAAAAGAACAGTTTTCAGCCTGGACTTGATTATAGCTCGGGTAGCAGCCTCTCTTACTCCTTCAGGAAGACTGTTCCAGATACTAGGTGCATATGAGCCATTTTTAGAATCTCAGAAATGTTGTTGTGCTTTGACAGTTCAAGCTGCGGTACCTGACTTTCTTTGCAATTGGTTTGTCCTAATAGAAAGACTGTTGTTATGAAATCAGACCATAACGTGAAACAATAATTCCAAAATCGCTCAATTTTGGCAAAATGTGACTTAATTTGAGGCTGTTCTGACTGCCTTAAAACACGATTTGCCAACAGAACAAAGCGAAATTATCATGTTTTTTTTAATAATCCAAAAAGTGTCTCCCTTGAAATGAGAAAAAAGAGCAACAGTGGCTTGTCCCATTGGCAAATCTTGTCAAATTAAGATAAAAACAACTCGATTCAAGCAATTATTACCTCATACAGTATTTCACATTGTTTGCAGGTTTGAGAATGGCGTATACCCCTGCTTTAAATGGCCACACTTCTTCCATCTTTCCGAATGACGTCAGAAGAACGCTTTCTAATTTAATTGAAATCTCTTCCCCAAAAACATATGGAACAAAAATCACGGTGAGACAGTAGCAGCAAGTGCCAATTTTCTGCCGAACATAGATTATTGATTTTTGTCATAGGCAGTGTCCTTAACTGCTAGACTAATATTTAACCGAATCCTGCTGGACACATTTACGGCCTATAGTCCCTTGTGCATGTTAGGTCTCCAGCTGTACATGATGTTTTCCCCCGGGCAGTGGAGCCCAGGTGGTCACAGAGAAGGGACTGGAACAATGGTCACAGTTAGACCAGCCGAGCAGAGACCAGAGAGAGACGCTCCAGGGGAAAGACCTCCAGTTAACCGTGAGTCATGTAAAATCTTAGTTTTGTAGGTCATTTGTGGTATTGGCGTAAGTTTTAGTTCAAAGTGGAGGAGAATATCAACGTGAACCAAGCACGAAACATATTGCCTCATGTTCTGTGGCACCCAAAGTACACAGCAAAAAGATGATAATATATTGTTTAATCTTAATTTTGGTATATTCTGACTTCCTTAAAAGAAGATTTGCCGTTGGGACAAAGCCAAACTCATTCCAAGAGACATTTCTTGTATAGTTTTAAACCATGATAATTTCGCTTGGTTTGGTTTCTCAGCAAGGAGGTCCTGTGTTCGAATCCTGTTCAAATCGAGAGAGACAGGGAGACAGACAGACAGATGGAGACACAGTGAGACAAGACAAAGACAGACAGAGAGAGAGAGACAGAGACAGAGAAAGACAGGAGAGAGAGACAGACAGAAAGAGAGACAGGGAGACCGACAGAGAGAGAGACAGAGACAGAGAGACAGACAGACAGCTGAACACTGCAAAAACATGTGAACTTGTCTTTGACTTCAGTCATAGCAGTTCTCACACTCGTGTTGTTATTGACAACTCCCAGGTGCAGATCGTAGAGGAGTGCAAGTTCCTGGGTTTAACTAGTAAGTTAGTAAGTTAGTAAGTTTTTATTTATATACCGCCTTTTCACTGCAGATCTGAGTCTCAAAGCGGTTTACAATTGTTAATTTTTGGGCACTTGTCTCACTCCACGGGGGGTCGCCAGTACAGGAGGCGCATGCCAGAACTATTGGACATATTTTTAGTGGTAGGGGAAACCGGAGTACCCGGAGGAAACCTACGCAGACACGGGGAGAACATGCAAACTCCACTCAGAAAGGCCCTGGTCCGACCGGGATTCGAACCCAGGACCTTCTTGCTGAGAGGCGAGAGTGCTATCCACTCAGCCACCGTGCCGCCCTGGGTTTCTGGGTTCCTGGGTTTAACTCTGTCTAACGACCTGAAATGGGTTAAAAACACTGACCGGGTTGTTAAGAAAGCTCGTCAGCGGCTCTTCTTTTTGCGGAAACTTAGAGAATTTACCACTAACTCTAAGATTCTGCTTAATTTTTATCGCTGCACCATTGAGAGTTTACTTGTTGGTTCTGTGTCTGTGTGGTTTGGAAACATCACAGATAAAGAAAAGAGAACTTTAAACAAGGTGCTCCGCTCTGCAAAGAGGACCGTGGGCTGTGAGCTTCCTGTTCTCGAGGTTCTTTACAGATCCAGACTTTTAAACAAAGCTCTTAAAATCATCAATGACTCTTCTGGCCACCCTGGGAAAGCCATGTTCCAGCTTCTTCCCTCTGGCAGAAGATATCGGTCACTGAGATGCAAGACATCTCGCTATGCTAACAGCTTCTTCCCACAGGCTGTTAGGTGCCTAAACAGAGCATTTTAATTTCTGCTTTTACCTGCTTTTAAACTGCTTTTACGCCTTGTATTGTTTTGTTGATCGGTGCCACAGTGTCAGCTGTTTTTTTATTGTTTTATGTTCAGTGTATGTGTGTTTTGTATTGCATTGTGTCGTGCTTTTGTTCTGTCGGTGCACACGGAGTGCCTTTCTTGCGAACGTATTCCAATGTGGTTTTTTAACTGCACATGGCCAAATAAATGAATCTTGAATCTTGAGACAGAGAGACAGAGACAGAGAGACAGGGAGACATACAGAGAGAGAGACAGAGACAGAGAGACAGACAGACAGAGAGACAGAGACAGAGAGACAGAGACAGAGAGAGAGAGACAGAGACAGAGAGAGAGACAGACAGAGAGACGGACAGAGAGAGAGACAGAGAGAGAGACAGAGAGAAAGACAGACAGAGAGACAGACAGACAGAGAGTAAGACAGACAGAGAGACAGACAGACAGAGAGACAGAGACAGACAGAGAGACAGACAGACAGAGAGAAAGACAGACAGAGAGACAGACAGACAGAGACAGAGAGACAGACAGAGAGAGGGACAGACAGAGAGACAGACAAAACCAGTTCCGTCCCCGGCTTCAAACACACATCTCCGGTCCCTGTGTGACCTGGACCGACTCAGTCCAAACTCCCGTCCCTGTGTAACCTGGACCGACTCAGTCCAAACTCCGGTCCCTGTGTGACCTGGACCGACTCAGTCCAAACTCCGGTCCCTGTGTAACCTGGACCGACTCAGTCCAAACTCCGGTCCCTGTGTAACCTGGACCGACTCAGTCCAAACTCCAGCTGGACAATCAGAGTTCAAAGACACATAAGAACGACTCAGAGAAAATGGGAACTCTTCAGCGGCAGACGCACACACGGAGCTCATGGCGTGATTACAGCCTGCGTGGCGTTGGAGCAGCACTTGTCCTGTTCCCGGCAACAAGGGCCCGACCTTCAGCGGCGCGTGCGAGTCTCAGGGGCCTCGCCGGGGGACTCCTGCAGGGGCCCCGCACTCATCTCCACACGGCCTGATGAAGAGGAGGGCGCACATCCTCCACAGTCCACTGATCTCTGAGAGCGGTGATTATAATAACACATCTGAGGTCTTTGGAGGAAGAGGACAGAGTTGGTGCTCGAGGAGGTTTCTCTCGTCGTCATGGACCTGGTCTTGGTCTGGTCCTGTTCCTCTAACACCAGGATTTATGTGTTCGATCTTTTACTTTAGCGATCACATCAGAGGTGACAGCAGCCTACTCTACTCTACTCTACTCTACTCTACTCTCTTCTGCTCTATACTCTGCTCTTCGCTACTCTGTGCTATTCTACTCTACTCTACTCCACTCTACTCTACTCTACTCTACCCTTCTCTGCACTACCATACTCTACTCCAGGGGCGGCCAACCAGTCACAGACTAAGAGCCAATTTTTTTTACCGTGTTACAGCAAAGAGCCACATCATACAAATGTGCACTACATAAACATCACCCCAACCCTTACACACGCGCGCACACGCGCACGTACGCACACGAGCAGACACGCTCACACACAATCTGTCTGTGCAGAGAGAGGTGTGCTCTGCTCAGACAGATTTATTGTAAATGTCATCAACATGATAATGACAGAAGTTGACTCGTAGAGCACTAAAGGGCTGAACTCTCCCCGGTTTGCGGGCGCTTCTACCGCTCGCTTCAGCCGCTCCCCGGTACTTTTTATTAATGGTTTGGCCCTGGTTCTAACCGGGCGAGTCGATACCAGAACAATATCACGTCAGCGAACATCAATTATGATTCCGAAATGAATGCTTTCAATCTCTAACCAAGAAAAAAAAATCAAGTTTCAACCCAGTGTTCAGCAGAAACACAACTGTCTTTATCGAACCATGATTCACTCTGACTGCGTTTAATAAAATATATAGATGTGACACATAACACCAACACCACTTTAGCTGATTTAGAACCACAGACACATGTTCAGTATAAGACCAGATACTTTTGCATTTGATTGAAGACAGACACTCACCAGGCAGAGTTGGCTTATCTCCTGGTGTAGCGCTAGCTGGTGCTAGCCGGTGTTAGCCGGTGTTAGCCGGTGTCCGTAAATGTAGCGTTAATCCATTTGGTCAAACCACCTCCAGACTTTTCGGGTCTGCCTCTACTTCTGCTGCTGCGATCTTTCATTTCACGGTTGTCACTTTTAAGCTTTATAACTTTTCTCTTCATTGTCATGTTTGTGGGAATCATTCTGCTCCGTCCTTAGCGCTAGATCCACAAACATATTCTGGTTTCTGGTGGAACCATTGAGCTCAGGCTGGTGTCCTCTCCTCAAACTGAGGAAGGTGTTGCCCTCATCCAGCGACCAAGGAATTGTTTTCCGTACGGACGTCATGGGTCGAGGCAACGTGTTTGTTATGATATTTGCTACAGCTGAGGCAGCGGCTACAGAGTGATTGACAGCGCATCTGACCAATCAGAATTGACGTTCGCCGACGTCAGATTGTTTTGGTGGCCTGGCTAGTGGAGTGAAGTCGGCCTTTACTATGGGTCAGAACTACATAGGGAATGAATGGCAGCGCTACCACCGAGGCGTTTTTGACGCTTGTCGTGTGGAAGCCCGAGAGCCGCACGGAATCAGCCAAAGAGCCGCATGCGGCTCACGAGCCGCGGGTTGGCCACCCCTGCTCTACTCTACTCTACTCCACTCTACTCTTCTTTACTCTACTCTACCCAACTCTTCTCTTCTCTCTTCTGCTCTCCGCTACTCAACTCTAATCTACTCTACTCTATTCTACTCTACTCTACTCTATTCTACTCTACTCTACACTACTCTATACTACTCTACTCTACTCTACTCTACACTGCTTTACTCTACTCAACTCAACTCTACTCTACTCTCTTCTGCTCTACTCTACCCTACTCTATACTACTCTACTCTACTCTCCTTTACTCTATTCTAATCTACTCTATTCTATACTACTCTACTCTACTCTGCTTTACTCTACTCTACTCTACTCTACTCTAGACTACTCTACTCTACTCTATACTACTCTACTCTACTCTACTCTACACTGCTTTACTCTACTCAACTCAACTCAACTCTACACTGCTCTACACCATCCCACTTTGCTCTACCCTACCCTACTTGACTCTACTCTACTTTACCATAATCTACTCTACTCTACTCGACCCTACGAGAGTGGAAAATAAAAATGTAAGATATTATGAGAGGAAAAAGTACAACTTGAAATACAAATATATCAAATACAAAAGCAGATACACAAACCAAAAGTAATATCCCCCATGAGACGATAAAACCGAAGGCAAAGAACAAGACTTGGAAATTGATGAAAGAAGATGGAATTAAAAATACAAGAACAGGTAGTGTCTGCATACATTTATGAACACACACACACACACACACAAACACACACACACGCACGCACACGCACACACACACAGGTCTGCAGCAGGTGCATCTCTCAGTCTGGTTCTGTCCGGCGGCTGCATGTGCGGTGAGTTATGGTGAGTTATGTAGCTTAAGCTGTTAGCACTCAGAGGCTAATGAGAAACATGTGTAGGTCGCTGCCTCCGCTTTTTATCTTCTCCCCTTTTTCCCCTCGTCAGTCCACCCCACAGAGGACCCCCGGCTCCCACATCTGGCCCGACCGAGGTGCACTTGTCCTGGATCAGTCCATCCATCAGGCAGGTGTCTCGGAGCGTTCGGGAGGTCCCTGAACGCACCGCGGAGGCCGAGCTAAGACCATCCATCAGGGACGACCAGAGCCTGCTGCCACCGGGACCAGGTGAGAAGTACTGTCTGCTCTGAAATACAAACACTGTCCATTGTATGATTTCTTTGGCTCTTAAAGCTGAAGTACCTGGATTTTAGGTACAATAAATTATACACATTCATATTAATTACAAATGAATATGTTTATTACAATGTACTGTAGTAATATCTGTGGGCGACAGTGGCTCAGTTGGTAGAGCATTGTTATCGGAACCTCATGTTTCTGGACCATGATTCAGAACATTTAAAGTAGCAATATGTAAGATGTTCATGTCAAGTCATCATTAAAGGGCCCTGATCTGTCAAAAGGCATTCATAAAACATATATTTTCCAATACTTATTTAACTGATAACAGTAGTTCAGAGATTTTGGAAATTCAAAATTAGTTTTACAGCCCCTAAATCTTGTTATTGTTTTCATTACAATGTCCCGCCCTCCACCGTTTCACCCATCAGAAAGTCTGTGATCCGGGCACCAGAACTCACCGCGTGGAGCTAGTCTCAATGGTAAAGTACCATGTGGCGCAGAACTAAAAACAACAAAACAAGGAATCAAACCAGGATTTCTATCTTTGTGAAAAAGGTGTTGGTTATAGATTTGTTGTTGACAAAACTCTTGTCTATTCAGCTGTTATGGTCCCAGCTGGATTCGTCTGCATATCTGGAAACCTGAGTCAGGGAGAGTGGGAGAGGCTGCAGTACCACTTTTGGCCCTCTGCACACTGGTCTTCTGCTCCTTCTGGATCAATGTCTCTACAGGTTTTTTCTTTTTTTTAATCACTGCATTCCCTGTGTTTGATTTGTGTTTGATTCTCTGATCTGTTATCGGCGAATCGACTTTGCAAACTATGCAAAGTCCTTTGAGACGACAGCTGTTGTGATCTAAGGTCTGAACAAAAATACATTGCAGTGAATTTGACAGTTAGGTCTGCAGTGAGGGTAGAAAAACGTCGATGGAAAAAACATGACAAAAGTGTTTTATATCGGACTGTACTTTTTCAACACCATCAAAACCAAGACCCATAAATAAAAATAACCTGTTCAGACCTGCCCGGGACACACTGTACCCGCTCTGCCTGTGCTGGCGGCCCAATGGGGAGCTCCTCTGCGCGGTGCGGGGCCTGGATCTGGGGCAGCACCATGACGTCCACTCAGGGAACACTCCAAATATGCCCTTTCATGTGCACTATTCAAACGGGCCGTGCAATTAAAAATTAACTCGGATTTCTCATGTACGTATTCATATTCCCTGGATTGGTTCTTTGCTGAATCCGGTGACAGCCCCGCGCCGTGTGGACACTGCTTCGGGAACAAATTTGTGTTTTATGTTTGACTTTGGATGCAGGGATATGGTGTGTGTTTTGCCGTATACGCTGTTGTATTTTGATGGCTGAGTGTAAATGTGTATGTGTACAGTGGTCCCTGGTTTATCACAGGGGTGTTCTAAAAAACTAGAACTAGAACTGGACACGTGACTGCTGAAGTGAGAGAGAGAGAGCAGAGAGAGAGACCATAGAGAAAGACCAGCGAGAGATCAGAGAGATACCAGAGAGAGACCAGAGAGGGATCAAAGAGAGAACAGAGAGAATAGAGAGAGACCAGAGAGAGGGACAATAGAAAGACCACAGAGAGAGACCATGAGAGGTCGGAGAAAGAGATCAAAGAGAGATACCAGAGAGAGACCAGAGAGGGATCAAAGAGAGAACAGAGAGAATAGAGAGAGACCATAGAGAGGGACCAGAGAAAGACCACAGAGAGAGACCATATACAGATCAGAGAGAGACCAGAGAGAGATCAGAGAGAGATCAGAGAGAGACCATGAGAGAGACCATGAGAGATTGGAGAAAGAGACCACAGAGAGATCGGAGAGAGAGACCAGAGAGAGACGAGAGAGAGACCACAGAGAGAGACCAGAGAGAGAATAGAGAGAGACCAGAGAGAGAACAGAGAAAGACCATACAGAGAGACCATACAGAGAGACCAAAGAGAGAACAGAGAGAGACCATACAGAGAGACCAGAGAGAGAGCGAGACCACCGAGGTCGACAATATCAGTCATACTTTGACTCCTTCTGAAAGCTCTCATACTGTGTCTGTAATGTCAACAATAGTCTAAGACCAGGAGCATATTTTGTGGCGGCGGCAGGTTACGGTCGTGGTGTGGCGGCGGCAGGTTACGGTCGTGAGGCGTCGGCAGGTTATGGTCGTGAGGCGGCGGCAGGTTACGGTCGTGTGGCGGCGGCAGGTTACGGTCATGAGGCGGCGGCAGGTTACGGTCGTGAGGCGGCGGCAGGTTACGGTCATGAGGCGGCGGCAGGTTATGGTCGTGAGGCGGCTGCAGGTTATGGTCATGAGGCGGCTGCAGGTTATGGTCATGAGGCGGCGGCAGGTTACGGTCGTGAGGCGGCGGCAGGTTATGGTCGTGAGGCGGCGGCAGGTTATGGTCGTGAGGCGGCTGCAGTTATGGTCGTGAGGCGGCGGCAGGTTACGGTCGTGAGGAGGCGGCAAGAGAGATACCAGAGAGAGACCAGAGAGGGATCAAAGAGAGAACAGAGAGAATAGAGAGAGACCATAGAGAGGGACCAGAGAAAGACCACAGAGAGAGACCATATACAGATCAGAGAGAGACCAGAGAGAGATCAGAGAGAGATCAGAGAGAGACCATGAGAGAGACCATGAGAGATTGGAGAAAGAGACCACAGAGAGATCGGAGAGAGAGACCAGAGAGAGACGAGAGAGAGACCACAGAGAGAGACCAGAGAGAGAATAGAGAGAGACCAGAGAGAGAACAGAGAAAGACCATACAGAGAGACCATACAGAGAGACCAAAGAGAGAACAGAGAGAGACCATACAGAGAGACCAGAGAGAGAGCGAGACCACCGAGGTCGACAATATCAGTCATACTTTGACTCCTTCTGAAAGCTCTCATACTGTGTCTGTAATGTCAACAATAGTCTAAGACCAGGAGCATATTTTGTGGCGGCGGCAGGTTACGGTCGTGGTGTGGCGGCGGCAGGTTACGGTCGTGAGGCGTCGGCAGGTTATGGTCGTGAGGCGGCGGCAGGTTACGGTCGTGTGGCGGCGGCAGGTTACGGTCATGAGGCGGCGGCAGGTTACGGTCGTGAGGCGGCGGCAGGTTACGGTCATGAGGCGGCGGCAGGTTATGGTCGTGAGGCGGCTGCAGGTTATGGTCATGAGGCGGCTGCAGGTTATGGTCATGAGGCGGCGGCAGGTTACGGTCGTGAGGCGGCAGCAGGTTACGGTCGTGAGGCGGCGGCAGGTTACGGTCGTGAGGCGGCGGCAGGTTACGGTCGTGAGGCGTCGGCAGGTTATGGTCGTGAGGCGGCTGCAGTTATGGTCATGAGGCGGCGGCAGGTTACGGTCGTGAGGCGGCGGCAGGTTACGGTCGTGAGGCGGCGGCAGGTTATGGTCATGAGGCGGCGGCAGGTTACGGTCGTGAGGCGGCGGCAGGTTACGGTCGTGAGGCGTCGGCAGGTTATGGTCGTGAGGCGGCGGCAGGTTATGGTCGTGAGGCGGCGGCAGGTTATGGTCGTGAGGCGGCTGCAGTTATGGTCATGAGGCGGCGGCAGGTTACGGTCGTGAGGCGGCGGCAGGTTACGGTCGTGAGGCGTCGGCAGGTTATGGTCGTGAGGCGGCGGCAGGTTATGGTCATGAGGCGGCGGCAGGTTACGGTCGTGAGGCGGCGGCAGGTTACGGTCGTGAGGCGTCGGCAGGTTATGGTCGTGAGGCGGCTGCAGTTATGGCATGAGGCGGCGGCAGGTTACGGTCGTGAGGCGGCGGCAGGTTACGGTCGTGAGGCGGCGGCAGGTTATGGTCATGAGGCGGCGGCAGGTTACGGTCGTGAGGCGGCGGCAGGTTACGGTCGTGAGGCGTCGGCAGGTTATGGTCGTGAGGCGGCGGCAGGTTATGGTCGTGAGGCGGCGGCAGGTTATGGTCGTGAGGCGGCTGCAGTTATGGTCGTGAGGCGGCGGCAGGTTACGGTCGTGAGGCGGCGGCAGGTTACGGTCGTGAGGCGTCGGCAGGTTATGGTCGTGAGGCGGCGGCAGGTTATGGTCGTGAGGCGGCGGCAGGTTACGGTCGTGAGGCGTCGGCAGGTTATGGTCATGAGGCGGCGGGAGGTTACGGTCGTGAGGCGTCGGCAGGTTATGGTCGTGAGGCGGCGGCAGGTTACGGTCGTGAGGCGTCGGCAGGTTATGGTCGTGAGGCGGCGGCAGGTTACGGTCGTGAGGCGGCGGCAGGTTACGGTCATGAGGCGGCGGCAGGTTATGGTCGTGTGGCGGCGGCAGGTTATGGTCGTGAGGCGGCGGCAGGTTATGGTCGTGAGGCGGCGGCAGGTTATGGTCGTGAGGCGGCTGCAGGTTATGGTCATGAGGCGGCTGCAGGTTATGGTCATGAGGCGGCGGCAGGTTACGGTCGTGAGGCGTCGGCAGGTTACGGTCGTGAGGCGGCGGCAGGTTACGGTCGTGAGGCGGCGGCAGGTTATGGTCGTGAGGCGGCGGCAGGTTATGGTCGTGAGGCGGCGGCAGGTTATGGTCGTGAGGCGGCTGCAGGTTATGGTCATGAGGCGGCGGCAGGTTACGGTCGTGAGGCGGCGGCAGGTTACGGTCATGAGGCGGCGGCAGGTTACGGTCGTGAGGCGGCGGCAGGTTACGGTCGTGAGGCGGCGGCAGGTTATGGTCGTGAGGCGGCTGCAGGTTACGGTCGTGTGGCGGCGGCAGGTTACGGTCGTGTGGCGGCGGCAGGTTACGGTCGTGTGGCGGCGGCAGGTTATGGTCGTGAGGCGGCGGCAGGTTATGGTCGTGAGGCGGCTGCAGGTTATGGTCGTGAGGCGGCTGCAGGTTACGGTCGTGAGGCGTCGGCAGGTTACGGTCGTGAGGCGGCGGCAGGTTACGGTCGTGTGGCGGCGGCAGGTTATGGTCGTGAGGCGGCGGCAGGTTATGGTCGTGAGGCGGCTGCAGGTTATGGTCATGAGGCGGCTGCAGGTTATGGTCATGAGGCGGCGGCAGGTTACGGTCGTGAGGCGGCGGCAGGTTACGGTCGTGAGGCGGCGGCAGGTTACGGTCGTGAGGCGGCGGCAGGTTATGGTCGTGAGGCGGCGGCAGGTTATGGTCGTGAGGCGGCGGCAGGTTACGGTCGTGAGGCGGCGGCAGGTTACGGTCATGAGGCGGCGGCAGGTTACGGTCGTGAGGCGGCGGCAGGTTACGGCGTGAGGCGGCGGCAGGTTACGGTCGTGAGGCGGCGGCAGGTTATGGTCGTGAGGCGGCGGCAGGTTATTGTCGTGAGGCGGCGGCAGGTTATGGTCGTGAGGCGGCTGCAGGTTATGGTCATGAGGCGGCGGCAGGTTATGGTCATGAGGCGGCGGCAGGTTACGGTCGTGAGGCGGCGGCAGGTTACGGTCATGAGGCGGCGGCAGGTTACGGTCGTGAGGCGGCGGCAGGTTACGGTCGTGAGGCGGCGGCAGGTTACGGTCGTGAGGCGGCGGCAGGTTATGGTCATGAGGCGGCTGCAGGTTATGGTCGTGAGGCGGCTGCAGGTTATGGTCATGAGGCGGCGGCAGGTTACGGTCGTGAGGCGGCGGCAGGTTACGGTCGTGAGGCGGCGGCAGGTTACGGTCG